ATGATCATACGTGCTTGCGCCCATACATCATACATAAATTTGTAGACACACACGGACATATATGCATGCATGCAATACATTGCAGACCAGCCAATTTAGTACAATCCCATGCAATGCAATATCGTACCGAACAACCCACACACAACATGGTAACATGCGATGTAATACCATGTTACCAGACAGTACGACACACACAACACATCAGTCAACAGTCAAACACACAATATAGCAAACGATACAAAATAAGACAGCATAACAAACGTACATATGTGTAAGTATGTATATGTACACGTATGTATATATATATATACATACATATAACATGTATACATACATACATATATACATATATATATATACATACACCTGCGTATGCGTGTGTGTATACACCTTTCAGTCATAATCATCATTTGGATGCCCGCTTGCCCCAGCATATCGTCACCGTGCAGTGTGCTGGGATGCCGACGGCGCCGAACCCCGCCGCGAAGAAGGCGGCGGTTCGAGGAAGCTGTCGGCAGATTGGCACTTGCCCAACAGCTTGCAAGATCTTACAAGCCTTACAATAACCTTACATGGCATTGTGTAGCATGGCGCAGGTGATCTGCCGAAACAATTCAAGCATTAGGCCTGCATCTATTCAGGCCGGATTTGCGATTGCAAGCATAGATTAGATAGGCAAGCGCTTTATGCATCTCGCGACGACCATCACAACGACAACCACAAAAACCAATCACATCAAAAAAACGAAAACCACACCGGCAGCCAGCACCACCGAGCAAGCAGCGAGGACCAAAGCTCCCTCATGTTTTCTAACCTGTCTAACTCACTGAAACTGCGTCAAACGTGCCTGGCTGCGTGCATGCAGGTGGTTGGCCGCGACATTCGTGGTGGCCGGCTTCGGGTTGATCTTCACCTGGGGCCCACGAGGAGAGAGACTCCAAATCAATCATTCTGGAGCTGCTGATGTCGATTGCTGTTGTGTGCTGCCCTTGATCTTGGCTTGGAACCTTTTCCGTGCCAGCACTGCGCTTGCACTTTGCGACTCGGAACACATGATCTCTACAAAATCTTTGATACTGCTACGGGCTCAACCTACAGTGCTCCGTGATGAGTACATGACACTACTCGGATAACGCTTGACTGAGCTAACTCACGGATTTCGATGTCGATTTTCGGAAGGTCCCAATGGCGGGCCATCCTGCAAATATTTGGAATTGGGGTTCGAGGTTGCATTTGATCCAACAGCTGCGTCCCTTCCAAAGAGGTGGAAGGTTCGAAGTGTTGTGCAGTTAGCGGGCTCGTGTTGCTCTGATTGGCTTACACCAGAGAACCTTCAGTCGCAAGTATGGCTCGGGAATGCGACACGGATCTGTGTTTCTGGTGTACTTTTTGCTAGTTGTGTAGCCGGAAATGCTGCGCGAAGGCAAGCTCGGCGGAGGAATGTTAAACTTCGCTCTCTGAACGTTTTGTAGTTCGGAGAGTGTGGCAGTAGAAGCACCTGTTACCTGGGCCTGGCGCTCCAATACCCAGACTTGCGTCCCCAGCCGCAGGGTCGCTGTCCCGTAAGCTGAGCCAAGGGCTACGTAGGGGCCGACGTTGTCCCCGGCCTCCGAGGCAGGAACAAGGCGAAGTGGCTCGGGTAAGCTTAGGTTCAAGGTTTGTGCTGCCAATCTCTGTCATGAAATAATCACAAGATCCTGTCTGTGAAAGGACATCCAGGCACATTGGCATAACACTGCCAAATATCAAGAAGGCACAGAAAGAGCAGTAGCAGCAGCAGCAGTGGCACTGGCCAGGATGGTGGTGGCAATGGAAGTAGTGATGGTAGTGGCAGCGGTGGTGGTGGTCGTGGTGGTAGCAGCAGCAGCAGCAGTGCCAGCAGTAGCGGTAGTGGAAGTGGGTGGGCGGCAGTGGCAGTGGTACTGGTAGGAGTAGTAGTAGTAGGAGCCGTAGCAGCAGCAACACGAGTAGCAGCAGCGGCAGTTGGGCGTAATTGACAGTGGAAGCAGGAGAAACGGCAGCAGCAGTGAGGCGGATTGATCATGCCCTGCCTCTATGAGCACTTTGTGGGTATCATCGCAGTACCTGAGCATCTTCTGATCTAATCCGAGCCCAGGGCCCGAATTGAGGAAGCAGGCCCGCGCAGGGCAGGCAACACTGTAGCAAACACAAACTCACAAACACTGACCAGGTCACGGAAATCGCTTCGACTGCCAGCAACGGCAAACTTTGATGTTTTTTGCCTGGGGGCCGCCGAGCTTGAGCGGACGAGGCTCGGGACTTTGGAGATGACACCAAGCAACCACTTGGCTCAATTTGCTTTTGACTCAGGGGGAAAGTATTAGTTAGTGTCCATCTTGCTCTTTCTTGCACATATGATCAGCTGTATGTCATCTTCTGAGTCTAGCGTCAGTGTATGTCAACTCACTGCCTGCTGAAGCAACTTCAGGGGCTTGCATGGATTCGACGGGGTTGGTCACCAAAGGCCCCAGCCCTGTAGAGCTTAGGCTTAGGCTGTATGTTTGTCAGGGATCCTCCACGGCTCCCCATCATCTTCCGTTCGGGTGGAAGAGCTCAGAGATTTAAGGCACTGTGACATTGTAGATTAGAGCATTATGGTGTTATAGTACATGTCATAGAACTACAGTTTTAAAATATACAGTATAGTAGATTGGTATAAGATTTTGCTATACTAAGCGTGGTATATATTTGTAGATACTGGATCGATCTATGCAGGCCCCTCAAGTTGCCGGCTGCGGCCGTCAAAGTACCCCGAAGTCGTGTGGTCACGAACTCTCCAAGAGATCTCAAAACCACTTAGCACAAGGTGTCTTGCCAATCCAAAGAAAAAGCCAAAGCCACTTAACCCAACACCTGATGCCCCATCACAAAACCCTGCACTTGTTATCCTTCACTCTGTAGGGTAGTCTCTTTCTTGGTGGTTGCAGTGACGTGTCACTGTACCGTGTCGCAACGATACCCTAAGCCGGGCAACCCTGAAACTCAAGCCCTAAACCAAAACCAACATGTCGGAAGAGCTGGAGCGCTACCCTGCCTCGCCCTGCTGGGCATACTGAATGATGTGGTGATACCTCATGACACTGCTTCAGGCTTGAAGGTATCACTTCTCGATACGATCTTGGCGTGACCATAATATTGGCCTCAATTTGTAAATAGAGACCCCGGCATAATCACACGCTCAATTCGCAGAACGTATGTGTACACTTTGTGTATGCTGAATCCGAACCATCAATTTAACACAATTCCTTATCTACCTGGTCACAGATGCTGAATAGCCTCTTGCTGATACTGGTTTATAGAGGCGGCTACATCCTTGAGGGGCTGATGTTGCTTGTTTGAATATATCGGTGCTGTTCTACTTAGAATAAGGTTTCAGTGACAGTGTCCTCTAATTTTGCGTAGGACTTAGGAGGCCAAAGAAGCAGACTCTTCTTCCTAAATAATCCGATTCCCACAGAGGATAGTACACAGCCAGTCCAAGCAGAGAGCTTGAGGGGCACAGACTTGGCCATACTCGCAAAATCCTCGCGGGCCCCCTCGAAGCCTTTAGTTTCGATCCTTCGTCCCCGTTCCCACGCTTCCTGCTATCCTGAGATGCGCTTGCTAGGATCGCGTCTGTGGTGGCAGATTGTAAAGGTTTGCAGGGAAGGGCTCCCCGCACGTAGAGTCTGTCGGACTTGAAACAGCCAAACTTAGAATAACTTGCTCCTGGCGTGTTGTGGCGGGTCCATTGTTGGTACCGTATTTACCAATACTTCAATGCAACGTCCGGTCACAGGTCAACAAGCAGGTTCCGATGCTCACGGCATAATCGTTTAGGCTGTGTTTAGGGTTTAGGGGCTTAGAGGGTGCAAGATGAAACCTCAGAGAACATCACAGAACCCATCCAGGAACCCAAATCATCAAAACCCATTCTTTGCAAACCCTACGGCATTCCACATCTATGTCACCGAAGCTAGCATATCATGTCTTAGATGGTCCGCTCGAGGGTCCAGGGCACTTGTCAAAGTGCTTGGTGTTGTAGTTCATCTGCGGCGGCGGCCAGTCCATCACGCCTCCTGCAAATGCCAGAAATAAGTCAACGTCAAACTGCGCCGGCTGTATGTTTGTATACCACAAGCCATAAACCCATGCGAGCCACCAGGAAAGGTCGCCGAAATTTGCATGATGACTTACATTGAAGCAATAGTTTTACGATTCTGTCAGCAAATTGTGCCGATACCCTTTCATCCGCTTCTGTCGCAGGTACCGACGCAGGATATCTTTTCCTGTCAAACAAAAGAGCAGCAACCACTGCCGTTCTGCAAGTCCGGGAGTGTCTAGAAGAATCTTTGGCATAACATTTCGGGTTACCGTTTCTTTTGCTGCACTTCACTCCTTCTTCCTACAGCTTTGCGACAGCAGTGCTAGCGGCCTCTCCGGTCCCAGAAGGCCAAGCTAATTATATATATATATACACATAATAGATATGTATATATATATAGAGAGAGAGAGAGAGCATATAGATATATGTGTATACAATTTCGCCGAGACAAACCCAAATTTGGTTCAAGCACCGACCGCAAGACAACATTCTGAAACATCAACTCCCTACGCTGTCCCACTAAGACGCTGACGTGGATATACCAATCCTGGATCTCGCGCCGAACTAAAGACAGAAATGGCTTCGATTGAGCAGGCGGGGGCGTATGGAATCGTGCCACGGCACCGCTGTGAAAACAATCTCGACCTCGCGCCTCTGATTGCCCTAGAATCCTAGAAGGGCCTAGACCTTCGAGAACACACGTCTGCGCGTCAGACCTTTACATTACCACTCCCTCCGCACACAGTCTTTATGTGCCCTGAGACCGTTTCTCAGAAGCTCGTCTCATGCTCGTACTACTCAACATGGAAACGGGCTCTTTTCTTTCTGATCTGCAGGCTTGGATCAGATTTAGTGGAGCATTCGTGCCCCTCACTCTGCCGGGGCGTCTCCGTCTTCAGCCGCCTGCGGAGATCCGAGGCTGGGTGCGAGGGCCCTTTTCAGACTTCTTCTTCAAGCCTGGGTGTCTGCTTCTTTGGAGAGAGGATAGGGGGAGGCCTTTAAAGGAGGATGGTGACCGCGGTTCTCTCACTCCGGATTCTGCAGCTGCAGCTGACGCCGCCACCATTGCTGCTGAAACTCCCACTACAGTACTATAGGTGCGTTAACTACCAAGCAAAATATGCAGAAGCCTCCTCGTAGAGCTAGCCACGAGCTGTCGAGCCCCAAGATATCTGACAAACCTCCACTGCCAAGCTCGAAGCTGCAGAAGAAAAAAACCAACAAGACCCCTAAACTCCTCGAAGTACCACCAAAGAACCCGGCGGTGGTGACTACGAAACTCCCTATAAACCCTAAACCCTAAACCTCAAACCCTAAACCTTAAACCCTGAACCCGAAACCCTAAACCCTAAACCCATCCCATACGCCCGAAACTCCACCGACCTTCTCGCTGTCTTCCACCGAGGCCTCCGGCTCGGGAGACTCGGCGGCTGGAGCTTCCTGGCAGCACTTAAGGCACAAGGCCGCGGCAGCAGGGGCAGAAGAACAAGGGCTTCTAGGGTTTAGGGTTTAGGAGTTTAGGGTTTAGGATTTAGGGTTTAGGGCTTAGGGTTTAGGGCTTAGGGGTTTAGGGTTTACGGGTTTTTGGTTTAAAGTCTCGTAACGAGCACCCGTAAGCAGCAGGACGCAGAGGAGGGAGCGGGGGAGGAGCAGCAGCAGGAAGACGAGCAGCAGTAGTAGCACTGGCGGCTGCTGACGTCTTGGTCTTTGAAGTTGTAGATCATCGTCGTGGCGAGAAACTCGTTAGACTGTAGCATGTTTTCAAGATTCAACATTTTGGGGCGCCAGTTTTCTAAACTGCGGTTGCAGGCAGGATTCAAGAGCGGAGTCAGTGGAGTAGACCCATGCAGCTTCAGCTGCGTCATTGCAGTTTGGGGTCGTTTGGGACCTGAAGATCTCCAAAGACTGCAAAGACCCAATGCCACGAGGAAGCTTTGCGGGGTAAGATCTCTTTCTTTCCCAGCTTCGCCGACAAGCAAGTCAGCCACGCTTGGGCGCTCTGAAGGAGTCTCCGCATGGTACCTGTCTGCCAGCAGACGCAGAGTCTCCTTCTCCCTCTCACGCCAATTCTGCTTCCAGAGGGCTGCAGACCGAAGCATCGCAGAGAGCCGCACCTCATGGGTTTTAAAATACTTCTCGAAGACCTCACGGACGCGCTCCCGGGTGGCCTCAATCCTTCGTTGGTCGCGGGAGAGGCTGTTGATGAGGCCTTCGGGGTCCAAGCCGAAGGACTCGGGCCTCCTCACGGAGATTTGCTCCCAGTCGATGAGCTCTTGGTAAGGGAGATTCCAACCTCCGGGCTCACAGCGTAGTCAGGTGTGCGGAAGACCAAGATCTTGAATTGCACAAACACAACCAACATACGTAATATCTACATATAGCCACATGTCTTTCTGTACATGTACATACCTATGTATCTATGTAGATATGTGTATGTCTGTGGATACACACACACATATATATATATACATATACACATACATACACATACACGTAGACGTGGTGTTGATAGAGACTGGCGGCTGGGCTTTCGAGAGTTCCGATGTCCAGCCTTCAGCCAGGATCACTGGAATGGCCTGGCCGTTCAGGACCTCCATAAGACGATAGCTCCAACGGCCATGACCATGAAGCACAAGGCTGTAGGATGAGTCGAAGAGGGAGTGGTACTGTCTGAATTCCTTGAAGTAGCGATATTCACCTGCAATCGAGATGAAGACATCCGCCGGTGGTGTGTAACTTGTTGTGGGTAACGGCAAGGTTTCGCCCGTCGGACTCCGCATCGACTTCGGAGGTTTCTTGGAGGAATTGAGCATGGCCGCAAGGTTCAAGCGCACGAAGGAGCTGCCCTCTTTTCCCACATTCCAGGGCCCCTGGAAGGTCAGGAAATACTTGGGGGGAGTGGATGGCTGAATTCTGTCCCTTTGCAAAGTCTCTGGTGGCGGTATGTGGTGGGCATGTGTGATACCCGGCAACAGTGGTGCGGAGTCATTGTGTGTGTCCCAGAGCCGCATGTCTGACGAAGAGAACATGAAGTCTCGACGAACGAGCAGGGCAAACAGGCTGGAACAGTCGTGCCAGCATTTTCCGGACAACCTGCAGGCAGTGGCACCATCGCACAAGGTTCTGAGAAACTGAGGTACGTCGCAGCTTTGGCTCCAATGCTATTGTACAGCAGACAGAGGCTGTGATATGGCAACATATGATCTTCTGGTAACATATGGCCATGGTTTCTGAGCGTCTGCCCCTGAGTTTCGGGCCTGAAAAAGCCAAGCTTGGCGCCGCAGTCGTAGCAGAGATAAGGGCGCTCGGGCGTACGAGGCGGCAAGGCCAGCAGCCGGTCAATCGGACCACAACAGACCTCAGGCTGGGGCTTTCCTGCTTATGGGGTTTTAGCATTTCGGATTTTGAGGGTGCCACACAATCGATCCTCATGGCCCCTGACCTACCTCACGCTTATGCACCCGTGCACATCCCCCGTCCTGCAAAACGCACGTTTGCCTAGCCTCTCGACTTATCTATGCTCTCTTCAAGCAGCAGGGCCGCGTATTCAAAGCTCACAAGGCACAGGGCCAAAAGGGCTGTCAGAGTTGAGGTTTTTCGGAGCCCTGGTATGACATCGACACCAGCTGAAAATCTGAATCTGACCTCAACCCTCAGGCTGGAAGATTCCCGATACAAGTTGAGGGGTCCCGGTAAGTCCCCATAAACCCCAAGAAGTGCAGCACATGGACGAGGTAGAATACAGCCTGGGCAGGGTCCTTCACCGTCCAGCCGTCCAGGTTTGCGAGATATCGGACTGGGAAGTCAGTCCTGCACATCAGAAAGCATCAGAGAGCCATAGGGTTTATAGGGCTTCGGGTTTAGAGGGTTTAGGGTTTATAGGGTTTAGGGTTTATGGCTGTAATAATCAAGTTAGGCTATGTAGCTGAGAAAACCGCTGCAGGTACAGGCTGGCGGCTGCCTACCATATAACGATGAAATGGAACAGGCAGCAGAGCACGTGTACGAGAACTTTCCAGCTTTGCTGATGGAAACGGTCCTATTCAGCAGCTGCTCCTCTACGAAGACCGGTGCGAAATCTTCCCTCGAGGGTTCGCTCTCGGGGACTTTGCATGGCTTGCCGGCAGCTGCCCCAGAGGCCACCAGCTCTTCAGGCAAAGAGGCAGTTTCGAGAGCTTCTGCCGGAGACTGTTCTTGCAATGGGGATTCGGACACATGCTGCTGGATTTTTGCGATAATCTGCGGCTCGCCGGCTCTGAACGGGTCGAGGTCCGAGGCTGGTATCGACGGAGGTACGGTCCCAGTGCCTGCAAATAAAGTGGCGCCACCAAAGAATGCGAGACCAAGTAAAAGCGCGCAGCTGCACAAGCTGAACCTGAATAAATGCCCATGGAGCATCCATCTCCCCTCGGGGAGGCCATGACGCCTTGCCATCTTGAGCTGTGCGGCTTCGGAATCCCCAACCGTCTGAGGATCTCACTATGAGCTGCAACTACACCCAGAACTCATGCTGGCAGCAGCTTCCGAGGATCACGCTCAAACCTTCAGCGTGACTATGTTCGGTTACATTCGTGCAACACACGAGCAGACAAATCCAGGCGTCTTTTTGGTGGAAACCCCGAACACCTTCCGTCGAGAGGATACGTCCCCAGCGACAAGATGTGAATAGGCTGTGACAAGCACTGCTTCAGTTGCTTTCGGGCGGAACCTCAGGAGGGATCAAGTGTTAGGAGGGATTGGGGTTTGGGGTTCGGGTTAAGCATCCCGGAGCAAGTCAGGCGAACAGGCTCATGTGTGCGTGTTACATGTTCTCAAGAGGAATGCTGAGATGTTGACCATACATCTACACACTCACACATGCTTACTTCAGTACTGCATATAAGCCTAGCCAAGCCAATACCAAACCACAGCTCCTAAAACCCCTGTCAAACAGAAAGCCCCGCCTGGCGGAAGACCCTGCGAAACAGAAGACCCTCAGCAAAAGAAGACCTGTTTAGCCCAAGATCCGGCCATATTCTTCAGACAAAGCTCAATGCTCTTTGCCCCGGCCTCGGGTGGAGGGGCGGCCAAAGCTGGCCGCTTGCGCACCGACCGCGGGGCCGAGGCCTGCGGGCAACAGTGTGTCTCATGTAAGGTTCATGATTAGAGCAGGGCTTTCTTCGGGGTGTCTTCTGGTGTTGGTTACTTCTTAGTTCAGGCTTCCATGTTAGGGCTCCGGGTTCGGGACTGTAGGCTTCGTGGAGGTTGGGGCTGTCCGGAGGGTTAGTTGAGAGGTATTGCGCTCATGCAAGGCTACCGACACTTGTTGTGTCCTTGACAAGAAATACGTTGAGGCTTCGGGGAAGGGCTTTCAGGATTTCGGATGTCCTGCGTTTGTTCGAAGTCTGTTGGGCTTGAGATTCCAGCTTTTTGGGAGCACTTTGCGTGCAGGGCTTCAGCCTCTTTTTAGTAGGTAGAATTAATCACTCACCCAAGCTCTAGATTTGGGGGCCGTTGGATTTCGGATTCCAGGATTGCAGGTCCGAGTCTCGCACTGGGAACAGTAATTCCACCTAGGTTTAGGTCAGCTTTCTTCAGGTCTATAGGGCTTTCAGTCAAGTACTAGTCTCGCAGAAACTGCTGCAACCAGGATCCCCGAAAAGGTTTTAATGTCTGAAAACAAAAAGACACCGCCCTTAAGCTTGCAAGACGGGAATCCCCGAACACCTAAAGCCCTGCGAGTATCATCCCTCTAAGCACCTACTGCTACACCCATCTATCAAACTCCAGTTGTACCAGCGGTAGTGGTAGAACAGGAATTCATCAAGACAGCGACGGTGAGTAACCGACCTCTAAGCCCTAAGCTGCACAACCCCAAAGCCTAAAGCCCCATGCCAGCGCCCAGATCTCTCCTTGGGCTCAGCCGAAGAATCAGCAGGAGCCTCTTATGAAGGCATCACCCGGACTTTCGGGAGTTTAGGTCTCAGGCTGGCGGAGAACAGGTTGGGGTCACCGGTCTGGGGTCCGGGAGTTTAGGAGCCAGGTGCTTGAAAGCTTAGTTGAGGTTACAGGTCTACAGGTTGTAGGATGCATGCCGAGTTTCCAGCTTTTGGCTTGTGAGTTCCTGGCTTTGCACGGAGGCAGTTCTGAGTTCGATGATCGCGCTTTGGTCATACCGCAGACCTCAATGTTTCGGGGGCTAAGGTGTGCCTGCCAGGAATGGCTTCCGGCAGTGCGCTGACTGCGAACCTCATCCGGAACAAGTCTTCAGGACCCCGGACCCTGCAAGACCAAATCGAAAAAGAAGCCGGTGAACCCCCACCGCCCAAGAAAAAAAGCTTCACGAAGCCATGAATTCCCAATGAACCTCTCACTTGCAAGTGAAACCCCGACAACCCTCCAGGCCTTCCGTTTCGTGCCTGCTTTGGCCTCCCGCACTTCCGCAATGGAAGTCGCAAAACAATGAAAGACACGCCAAGGACGGCACATGAAGGAAACAGATAAGGTCAACAACAAGGAGAACACGAATATCTAGCGGAGCAACAAAGTCATCAACACAAACAGCACACGAGTCCTTTCTAGCTCCGTACAATCCGGATTTCCCTGGGGCACGGCAGCTCTTGTGATGTAATCAACCGACAGCGTCGTGGTTGAGAACGGCAGACATTGAAATACCGGCAACGAGAAATGACGCTGAATAGTGCGGAGAGACTGCTGGCACACAACATCAGCAGCATCGTCTTCAATACCCGCAACACTCCTACTTGTATCCTTCTACGACTTTTGGACTGGTCGTTTGGAAACAGCAGGTTTCAGCAAGGGTCTTGCCTGATCAACGTCAACATGTGGCGGTAAAACAGGCTCCTGTGTTTGGGACACAGGGCGTTGGAAAGGAAGTAGAAAATGGCTCCCCGAGGGGAGTACTTCACATCATGATTCTTTTGCGTGTCTCCCAAGGACTCCACCATCACGAGGCCCTGTTACGGAGGATAATGTTGAACAGGGCTCCCCTAACCAAGGTCTGGGGGCAAGCTTCCGAACTTCCCCAGACCCTGGATCACTGGTTCTTACTGCAAGGACCAAACTTACTAAGAAACGCCATGCAACAGTAGCAATCCACTGCGGAACCCCGACTGGCTGTTCTTAAGATGCTGCCTTCGCCGGCTTCGCGGCAGGAGGTGCAGCCTCCAGTCGAATTTACACCCATCCCTGAAGCGGTTTAGAGGTTTCGGTTCGGGGGTTTTGGGCATACGGTAAGTTCGGGTTTCGGGATTTGGGACTGGGGGCACGAACACATCAGCAAGCTGCCTCCGGGGCCGTATCCTCAAGACGCCGTGCACAGGACCCTCGAACTGCACGAATCTGGCAGGTGGGGAACGATGATTATCCGATAGCGGCATCCAAGCCCCAAGCCCGCGAGGGTGCATCGGTGTCTTCTAAAGCTAAACCTAGGCACAACAAGGAAATCAATTCATGCCAACAAGTCGAACGACAAGGCGCCAAAAATTGAATCCTCAGTAGCAGCAAAAGTAGCAGCAAAGCTAAGCCCAAACGATTGACCGATAGCTCGGAACCCGAAGACCGGAAGTACTAAACCGCACACCGCATCCAGTAAGTCCGAAAGCTCGACGAGCAGCGCCAGCGGCTCGCACTTCTTTGAAGAGGTCGGGCCTTCGATTCAGACTCTCAGAGCGCACCCTCGGAGGCTGGAGTTTGGGGCTAGGGTTTAGGGTTTAGGGTCCGACCTCTGTATTCAGGCCTTTGGGTGGTAGAGCTGAAGGTCTGAGGAGCTCAGAAAGTTGAGGGTTCCTTTTTCCTGCTGTGAGGGAGGAAGCTGACGGAGAGATCGGGGTCTTCCCATGGAAGGGCCGACGGCTAGCAACGACCGAAGGCATCTAGGAGAGAACAGGGATTTAAGATTTAGAACACGGTACCTTCATGCTCCGAAGCCAGGCTTATGGAGATGCCAGCAGAGGGATGAACTCACGACCTGCGTGGCGACTTCGTGCGCCGGTGTGGTCCTGTTGCCAGACGAACACGCGATGCTCGTCAGCGTTCAGCGATGTTTGAAGCCAGCTGTGTCGGGATCGTCTGCGCCGGATGTTACGGCTCCTTCGACTGGGCTAAAGTCCCACTTCCAACCGCACGAGCTGCACGAGGCGGTCCACATCTTGTGGGCAGCGGATCCGAACGAAGAGGGGCTGGTGCTGGTGCTTTTCCCGCATTCGGCGAAGCTTTTCTTCCTGCAAGTGGTGCACTTTGATGACCCAAGTGATGACACTGTCCCCAGTAAAGAGCAAGCCGGGATGCTCGTAATTCCCGTTGCAGCACTCAATTCGGCAAATCATACGCTTGAGAGTGCGCCATACAGCACGGGTGAGTACTACCCAGAAGTCCAAGTCCAACCATACCACCACCTCCACCTCATCCCACACAAATCCGCCCGTGGCATTGAAGTAGTTCCCGTCTATAGTGAATCCGCCTTGTGCCTGTCGAGCGGCTCTCAGCAGGAAAATGTGTATATGTGAATATTCGATGTATGTGTCCCTGCATGTGCTTATGCATCTATGGGTATGTATGTGTATGTGTATGT